CAGAGGGGAACCATCCACCACCTGGATGTGCGGCATTCCCAGATTGGCAATACGTGGTGCGTCCCAGTCATTGCCTGGCTACTGGGACAGCTTTGCGACCCTCTTGGGCTGTGTCCCCTCTACACACCCCAGCAATTGATGGATTTCTTGAATCCGATGCGCCAGGCTTTTCTTCAATCGCGGCTGTGGAGAGCACCGCTGCGGCCATTGCGTGGGCCGGCGCCTGCGTCCCAGGGTAGCCTGGTGTCAAAACTGGGTGGCCTTATAAGTGTAAAGGGTGAGGACATTTTGCTCACCACACCGTCAAGTCAATTAACGAAATTTCACCGTCTGAGAGCGTCGGTACCTGCTCGCCTTTGGAAGTGGCGAGTCATCGCCGGCTGGCGATGGACTGGATCTCGTGAGCATATCAATTCCTTGGAGTTGCGTGCAGTGCTCACGTCCCTTAAGTGGCGTATCCAGCACAGGAGACAAGTGGGGAAACGCTTTCTCCATTTGGTTGACTCTCTTGTCGTCTTACACGCCCTTTCACGAGGCCGATCCAGCAGCAAAAAACTCAGATCAACGCTGTCCCGTATTAATGCCTTGCTGCTCTGTAGCTCTAATCAAGCCCTTTGGGGCTATGTGCAAACGGACCAGAACCCGGCGGACCGCCCCAGCAGGTGGGGGTCCCGGGTCAAAAGCAAATTTAGGCATGCCTAAGCGGCATTTGGAAGGAGCTACACAGTCAGCCAGGGCACAACAAAGACAGCGTTTAGGTACACTTCGTGACTTGACGGTACAACCAGCAACCAAGCAGAGATACACTAAGGCCATTGACCTCTTCCTGGGGTTCCTCAAACTCAACCATCTCATCCTGCCCAAGCAGCGTAATCTGTTGGATGAATACGTTTGTGAGTACCTCGAACATCTCTGGAGTTCAGGGCAAGGTAGGGCCCTGGCTAGTGACACTGTCGCTGGCCTCCAGGACTTGGATAATAAACTCCGGGGACACCTAGGGGGAGCCTGGCGGCTCCTCAAAACCTGGAGCATCAACGAAATACCAAATCGTGCTCCGCCGCTCCCTGAGCACGTATTGCATGCTCTGGTGGGATGGAGTTTTTTCCACCAGCATGTCACCTTTGGCATATCTTTGCTCCTGGGTTTCTATGGGATGCTCCGTACAGGAGAAATTTTGGACCTAAGGGCCTCGCAGATCCATTTGGGTAGTCGTCACTCATCCATCGTCATTTCGTTAGGTCTCACCAAGGGCGGTAAGCGTGCGGGAGCTGCTGAGTCAGTGGTCATTGGATATGACATGGTGGTTAATTTTATCCGACACTGGAAAGCACTAGCTCCTGACACTACCCCGTTGGCTCGCAACGCTGGGCGCTGGAGGAATTTGTTCAATGAGGCTTTAAAGTCACTGAAGCTGGAAAGTTTCGCCTTCAGACCCTATAGCTTAAGACGTGGGGGAGCAACATGGTGGTTTGCGCGCCATCACTCTCTCGATAAAATCTTGCTACAGGGAAGATGGCAAGCTCAAAAGACTGCCCGTATCTATCTGAACGAAGGACTTTCAGTCCTGGCGGAGTTGTCTCTTCCTGCTTCCCTCCCCTCCCTTCGCCCCTTTATCAACATTTTTCACCAACAATCCACTCGTATCACCTGGACCACACTTGAGCCTCCTGTGCTACGCACAGAAAGTACAGGGGGCCGTGGAAAGAAATCTCAGAAGAGATCAAAACAAAGATCCAAAAATGGGTCTTCGAACAAGCGTCGGAGGCGCTAAAAATGAAGAAGTGTTGAACTTACCCCAAATTTGGTGAGTTGGATGGTTTGGCTCTTGCTCACCAGATTAAGGGACAGGATGTGCTGTGGGTTTGGCCAAGCACTATCCATTGGAAGTTTTTTAGTGAGTGAGTGATTTCTTCTTTGTTTTGTTTCCTTTTATTTAACAAACTGCTGCGAAGCGGACTATGAAAAAAGGATCGCATCGATGTGCTCTTTGTCTCCACGTCCACGGGGATAAAGAGTCGTGATGCTAAAACCCCTTTTTTCCATATCCTCAGTGTTTGGCTTTCAGCTGCCCCCCCTTTTTTCTTTCTTTTTCTGTTTCCCACCCTTCTGGAAAGAAATCTCAGAAGAGATCAAAACAAAGATCCAAAAATGGGTCTTCGAACAAGCGTCGGAGGCGCTAAAAATGAAGAAGTGTTGAACTTACCCCAAATTTGGTGAGTTGGATGGTTTGGCTCTTGCTCACCAGATTAAGGGACAGGATGTGCTGTGGGTTTGGCCAAGCACTATCCATTGGAAGTTTTTTAGTGAGTGAGTGATTTCTTCTTTGTTTTGTTTCCTTTTATTTAACAAACTGCTGCGAAGCGGACTATGAAAAAAGGATCGCATCGATGTGCTCTTTATATATATACATATATACATGTATATATGCATATGTAAAAAGTTGGGAACAAAGGTTGTGGTGTGGGAAATCATGATTTGGATGCTACTGTGTGTTTTGCTGTCAGCTTCAAAGTTTTAATACGGTTCATGAGACTTTGAGTGTTACTTTTGAAACACAGCCGAACTAAAACATAACCTTTACCAAGCCGTAAATCCACAATCTATATATACATATATATTATATAAGCTTATAAAAGTATATTTCACACACGTTGACATTATAAACTCTTTGCTGGCATATGATAAGCCGCTTCAAAACCGATGACAGCATAACTACAATTGAGGTACAGATACTGCATATTATTGCACTCATCACACCTCATCCCGGGTACATTCGAACGGTTCCGAACGGTTCAGAAGTACCGATTTGTTCCCGAACTATTTCGAACTATTTCGAACCATTTGTTTTTTGTGCCTAGCATACCTCCGAACGGTTCCGAACGGTTCAGCGGTAGCCTATGTAATTGAGGCGCCCCTGCTCGGTTGAGACAGGTTCAGACTAGACTGGTTCAAGCAAGGCTGTTGTTCTTGCGGTTTATCTAAAGACCTTTATATCCTTCAAGCATGTAGTATCACTCATGTGATGTGCACATTGAGTATAGTTTGCTTTGCTATTAAGTAATAAAAGTTAAGCTTTGTAAAGGAAAACAGGAAATACAGCAAATCGAAGGTCACACATCGAAAGTTCAAGAAAACAAAAGGTGAGTTACACAAAGTTTCCTCACAGTAACATAACTTTTTTGCAAATTCAGACAAATTTTTGGTCAGGTGAGTTAGTCAGAAAGTTGGAAGTTGTGACCTGGTTGCATCAATCCGTGACTCACCATCCGAACTTTGGACTGCGAAACCCTGTCCCTCTACAGAAAACTCCCAAGGGACCGAGCAGACCGGAACCTGCACGCAAACCACTCGTAAAAACCACTCGTAAACCGACAGAGAGGGCCTCTGAACCGTTCGGAACCGTTCGGAGGTGCCTCTGAACCGTTCGGAACCGTTCGGAGGTGCCCAGCACAAGGTCTGGATAGTTTCGGATAGCTCGACTGGTCTCTATAGAAAACCTCGAAGTCAACCCCGACAACCTTGAAGTTAACCCGGACGTCGGCCGCGGCGTCGCGTCAGTTGCAGATTCAGGGATTGGAGGGGTGGTGGGCGGGCGGGCGGGCCAAGCGAGTCGAGGATGGCAGTGTGGGGCGGCCGCGCTTTGTAATGCACAATCTTTGGGGCTGTTTTACTCAATGCTTCAAAGACTTTGTAAGATACTTGTCAGATCTTGCAAGCTGAAAACTGGATCATCCAAACATATTCATTATTATGTCTACATCGTTTGCATGTTTTAACTTGGCAGCTTTCAATTCCACTATTCGCGGGTTTGTATCTCTATGCATTTCTGTTTGATTCTGTTTGTGTGTTGTCGTGTTTGTTTACTTGCGATGTGTTCAACCATTAAATCATTATATGTTGGACTTTCGTGCACGTACAGATTTTAAATACGTACTATAGTTGTGGCGTTTGCTTTTGATATGTTTGTCTTTTTTTATTACTTTTCTTTTTCATACAGCAAAGGTAACTTAGATTCAAGGAGTAAAGCATTTTTCGAAAGTCCTTCTAAGTTTTGCGCTTTGGATATGATCTAAGCTACTTGCCGCGCATAAAGGCTACAGCTACAAGTGGCCCCTTTATACCAACCCAAACTCGCAGCTATCAGAATATCCTGCTGACATGCTTAACAACCTTCTACAGTAGTGTGACAAGGCTCCGCTTTTGTAACATCAAATGTGATGTGGTTCTACCTCTCAAGGCCTAATGTGACCTGACCCTAAAGGAACCGCAAAAAAATGGAAGAATTTGGCATGCGAATAATCATTTTACGGCATGCGTCTTGTCAAAACAGAAATGTCACCAATGCAGCACGACATATTAGTTGTTAGTGCATGATATGATGGACATATCAAGTACATTCTTCTTAATAACGTACTGGTTCAAGCAACATGTTACTCAGATATTGAGATGTGAAATTGTGCAAGCACCTTCCAGGAGCCCAATACATCATTGGATCACACCGTTCAAGCTTCCAAAGTATAGAATCAGTATCATCAAATGAGTAGAACAATAAAATATTTCAAAATACGTGCTATATAATCATATTTGTGATTGACGTTATCAAGAAATGAAACGCAATATTATATTTCCCTGGCTTCTTCCCAGATTTGTTTCCATAAGATGTTGTCTCCATGTTTTTTCCCACACCTCTTCCCACACAAACAAAGTTTTTCCAAGATTAGTTCCCTGATCTTTTCTTAAAAAGTTTTTTACATGATTAACTCCCAGATCTCTTACGTACACTTTGTTTTTTCCATGATTTTTTCCAAAGTTTCTTACGTCAGCCATAAAATTTCCCAGGTTTCCCCCAGAAAATTTACATAGTTCGGTTCCAAACTTTCAGCCAAAACAGAAACGGCCAGTTATAGAGGCCAGTGGTTGAAATAAATTATAGAATTATAATATTCCCACAGCTTCCGGTGCCGCTTTATTTTCCCCGCCTAGCCTGGAGCTTTCGATAGGAAAGCAACCAGCGCGGCTACGTGAGCTTCGCGATGAGGTGCGAAGCCTCACGGGGATCTGAGAACTTCACCGATGGAGAATTCGAGATTTAACATGGGTAACATTCTATGGGATATATAAATCTATAGGATATATATATCTATAGGATATATAGATCTATATATAATATTCTTGGTTAATTATGTTACTATCTACTTGTATGGTTATCCATGGATAAGCCATATATTGGTTAAAAACAATAAAATAGGATTATATAATGGGATATATATATATAGGAATTCCACCTATAGGATATATATAGATCTATGATTATAGAATTTCTGAGGATATCTATGGGATAACATCTGAGAATTTCCACCTATGGGATATATAGATCTATGATATCTATGGTTTATTATGTTCTCCGTGGATAACCAATATAGATATGGTCGGTGCCAGAATTATAGAACGGAAGTTGAGGAGTACGAAGGTACGGTTATTTACCGTACCCTGTTGTTCTATAATTCTCTTTTCCTCGGAAGGTATGAAAATTACTTTACTTCGTGTGATCCCCACCATGACACATTTTCTTACTGGCAAATCTTCTGGCATTCTATCTGACATATCTTCTGGCATTCTATCTGGCATTCTATCTGGCATATCTTCTGGCATATCTTCTGGCATTCTATCTGGCATATCTTCTGGCATTCTATCTGGCATATCTTCTGGCATTCTATCTGACATATCTTCTGCCATTCTATCTGACATTCTATCTGGCATATCTTCTGGCATATCTTCTGGCATTCTATCTGGCAAATCTTCTGGCATTCTATTTGGTATATCTTCTGGCATTCTATCTTACATTCTTTCTGGTATATCTATCTGGCATATCTCATGGCATTTTATCTGGCATATCTTCTGACAGTCTATCTGGCATATCTTCTGGCATTCTATCTGGCCGTTGGGATCCAGCGGTGCACACTGAGCTGGGCAGGTCCCAGGTTGAGGTCCAGCGGTGCACACTGAGCTGCGAAGGTCCCCGGTTGAGGTCCAGCGGTGCACACTAAGCTGGGAAGGTCCCAGGTTGAGGTCCAGCGGTGCACACTGAGCTGGGCAGGTCCCAGGTTGAGGTGTAGCGGTGCACACTGAGCTGGGCAGGTCCCAGGTTGAGGTCCAGCAGTGCACACTAAGCTGGGACGGTCCCAGGTTGAGGTCCAGCGGTGCAAGGTCCCAGGTTGAGGTCCAGCGGTGCACACTGAGCTTGAGGTCCAGCGGTGCACACTGAGCTGGGCAGGTCCCAGGTTGAGGTCCCAGTGCACACTGAGCTGGGAAGTTGGCAAAGAGCTTGGCGAAGAGAGTTGGCAAAGAGCTTGGCGAAGAGTTGGCAAGGCGGAAGTGGAGGTGGAAGTTGATGCAGACATGGTCGAGGAGAAACTAGAGGGGGAGGAGGAGGAGGACGAGGAGGAGGAGGAGGAGGACAGCTAGCCGAGGAGGAGGAGGAGGAGGAGAACAGCTCTGATAAAATCTAACAACCCTCACCTGGCAGGTGGGGAAAAACGTATCTTAACTTACTCCTGACTTTTTTTCGTCGTTCTATAATTCTTGTTCGTCCTATGTTGTTCTATAATTCTGTTTTCCACCATTTTTTCCACATTTCCCATTTTCGTTCTATAATTAATTTTCTCAGTTCTATAATTAATTTTAGAAATGGAGGTGCCAGAAATTATAGAACGGGGAAATTTAAGTATAGAACGGAGAAATTCAATTATAGAACGAAAATGGGAAATGTGGGAATATGGGGGAAAACAGAATTATAGAACGGAGAAATTTAATTATAGAACGGAGAAATTTAACTATAGAATGGAGAAATTTAATTATAGAACGGATCCGAATCCGCGCGGAATCGGGATCCGGAGGAGTACGAAGGTACGGTATTTTATCGTACTTTTGTATTCCCGGCTCCGTTCTATAATTCTGGCACCACCTGTAACCAATAACCAATGATATTATCTATGGAAAGATATTACCGATATATATATATATAATATGATAACTCGGTATATAACCAATATGATACTCCGGGCTGAAAATGGATGGCGCAGATTTTTGCAATGCGCCATCTATAGACCACTTGAGGGATGGGGTGTTTGCGCCATCTATAGGTTCCCGACACACGTCCTTGAAAACAACCTGTTTTCCTCTAGGTTAGTTTAAACTTAGTATTTAAGATCTGGGGTCCATTTTTTTTTTGGAAAACTAAAATTGTGGATTGCGCCATCTATAGGTTCCCAAAGGAGGAGGGAAAGGAGCAAGGAGGAAGGAGAGGGAGAAAGGGAAAGGAGAAAGGAGAAAGGAAAAAAGGAAAGGAAAAGGGAAAGGGAAAGGATAAAGGAGAAAGGAGACAGGAGAAAGGAGAAAGGAAAAAAGGAAAGGGAAAGGGAAAGGATAAAGGAGAAAGTAGAAAGGGAAAGGGGAAAGGAGAAAGGGGAAAGGGGAAGGAGAAGGGGACAGGAGAAAGGGAAAAGGGAAAAGGAGAACGGGAAAGAACAAAGGGAAAGGAGAAAGGCAAAGGAGATAATTCTGGTATTAAACCCATTTATAAACCCATGGTTATTATGGGACGGGATAATTCTATGATATATATCACCAATATAATACTTAACTAAATAATATTATATATATATATAGAATATCCATATTACCAATAGTTAACCATATTCTATAGAATATTACCATTATTGGATACTAGATCGAAATATATTCTATAGATCTATGATATATCCATATATAATAACCAATAACCAATGGATTTCCCATATAGATCTATGATATCTATGGTTTATTATGGGCATATATGGTAACATGTTGGAGTATTTATGGTGTATCGGACCAAATCCAAGACATCCCTCTTGGTTGATGGTCTGTTTGGGGGTTATCAAACTACTTTTTACACATGGGGGATTACCAATAATCATAATCCATGAGCTGAGAATCCCATTCTGACTGGGTCATTTGTTTCATAGGTGCATGTTGCATTTGATTTGCCATCAATGGGAGGTAATCTGTCAGACAGTGATGTCTTCAAAGCGCGAGTGCCACAAATCGACCAGCCAGCTAAATATCAAGGATTACACTTTGCACTACAGATATCTAATCTACTCTATTATTATAAATATCTAAGTTCTAGCTAGCGCTCAATATTTCTATATAGAGGAAAACAACTTTCTTTTAAGTAACACATCTATGAATGGACCATTTTCCATAGCTGTGTCAATCTCTCGGTCGCAGGGGTCCGGACACCAGAAGTTGCCAGATCTTCTTCAACTACAAGGACTGGTGGAGGATTTCCCAGTTCCGAAAACTGGATGTTGGTTGATTTTGATCCCACGGAAACTATAGATTATACTGATGTGATGTGGCTATCTACCATAAATCATAGAAATTCATCATAGATGCACAATAAATTATAGAATTTCATCATAGATGTAGCATTTTTATCATAGAATTCAGCTCTACTCATGTCCAGCGACTTACCGGCTCCACGTAGGTTCCGGAAAAGCAAACTTGGGTGTTGTCGAAAACCATCAGAAAAGCATGCCACGCTATAGGAGTATAAAAAGATTCTTTGTTGATGGCAGAGAAAAAACTTCATTCATCTCAGACATTTCCAAGTTTCGAACTTTTCGACATGACTTGGGGTTGCGAAAAACAAAAAGGTTGGGTTAGTTTGACCTATAGCCAGATGAGTGGCTGAGAATCATGGATCATTTGGACAAAGTGGCCCTCACAGTTGTCTTTGTTGGCTTCAGCCCATGCACTACAGTCATTTCATTGCCACAAACCCGAGTAACATTGGAGCATATTGGAATCATGTTTATCAGAGTTTATCAACTTACATAGCTATCATAAATCCACAATCATGTATAGCTATATAAATCACTGTTAACACAGTTAGTTCTTGTTCTGTTTATCACTATATAAATCCACAATAAACGGTAACTTCTCCATCTTCGATTTCAGAATCCCCAGCAGCGCCAGGATAATAGGGACCTGGATGGCCAGGCCCCAGCCCCGACCAGTCGGATTTCTCCCGGTCCCAAGCGCTTTAATGGTTGAATGTTAAGCAACGGTTCAACCACCCATATGGACCATATGGATTGATGGATTGATGGTTTTATAGCACACATAAAACATGTAAAGATTGGGATGGTTCAACTATTTCTTTACCAACAAAATGCATGGGTCTAAATGTGGGTTTTTAGCAATCATGGGCATTTAAATTTAAACAAATGATGAGTTCATTGATAAATAAAGGTTTGTCGAATACGGGAATCCTACAAATGGGTAACATGATGGGAGATACCAATAATGGATTTGACCAAGAATCATGGGGATAGAATGATCATATACCGGAGATATACTAGGATAGATCATCAACAATCTGATGTGATGTGGGTTTGTTTGAACATTGGGTGTACCAGCGTCGGACAGTGGGATGATAATCATCGGAATGATGTTGCACCCTGACACATCCAAATACTGGCTTGAGCAGTAAATATCGGAATGGCCTTAGGTAATTTCACAGATTGCGAACTGGTATATGTGGCCCGTTTAGTTCGATTGCGTACCTACTAAAAATGGTGACTTTCCATGGCAAACTGTTGAATCATCATACGGTATGAGTTGGACAATTTTTGTCATGGTTACACTACCCGACCTGCTGGGGTTCGTTCGATTGTTTGTTGTACAGTAGAAGATGTCGAGAGAGGCAATGCGAGGAGATGACACTGAATGACAGTGAGCTTCCTCATGATGGATTGTGAGGTTCCCGTCCACCAAGCAACGTAATGGATTTACACAGTGGTTTGGGGTGCTTGAGCCCGGGATTTTGGCCTTGAATGGTTTGGGTAAGACATGCGGAACTGCCATTTTGTGAGCCGTACAACATGAATTCTCTTCATGGCTGAACACTCCACGTACCTAGAATTGTCGCTTTAAGTTACTTGGTATATGCAACATGTTTTTCTTAAGCAAAATCTGCACCCATTGGACTCATTGGACCTAGGGTTTTTGCAAACATTTCGATGTTCAGGGAGTAAGTCCAGAAAGAAAATCTCACCCGCTGTCAGGGCTTCTCACCTATTGCCATTGTGAAGGAAGGTATGGAGGTTCTTTGCTGCGTCGAACGTGGCGTGTTGCGTCGTCGAATCTGGTGGTCGCCATGTCGCAAAATGTGGCCATGATGAGGATTAAAGCAGCAAGAATTCATTGGGATTTCAGCCCACAGATATTAATGAAATCCCATTGATAATCTATAATGGGATAATCATAATGTAATAATGGGAGAATATCTATAACAGATAATCTACAATATAATATCACAATTATAGATATTGGGATTATGATAATCTCTAATTGGCATAGTCCCAATATCTGGATTTTAATGTGATCATATCTGGGATAATGAATAATCGCATATAATACATAATTATCCAATAATCTAGTAATTAATGGGATAATATATGGGATAATTGGATGTTTTAATGTATTAATTAATGGCCCCCATGGATAATCCATTAATGGGATAATTACATGTTTAATTTTAATTTTAATGTGTTTTGCAATATGACAATGATAACCTATATGAAATCATATTTTCATTGTTGTAATTATCTATAACGGGATAATCCTCAATGATCCCCAATGTGTATATAATATATTTTGATATATATATATATGTATATAATACAATTTTTGTCCCATCCTTACCTTCAATGATCCCCAATGACCCCTTTTCAGGGTGAAAACCACCAAGAATTCTCATGTTTGGGGATGCTCACATCCCGACGACTTCATGTAGCAATGTAGCAATGAATGAAATCGTTGGATGCCATCCCCATGTTCTATCCCTATCAATTACCTACATGTGTAAAATTGTATATATATATATACCCTCTGGTAAACTAACATAGCTATTGAAAATGATGATTTATAGTGGATTTACCCCCCATAAAAAATGGTGATTTTCCATGGTTACGTTAGTTTACCAGAGGGTATATATTGTGTCTACCTACTCGAATATACCTTGACCCTCAGAATTCGTCACATCCGTTTGAAACCTGGCTTCTTGGTGGGTTCCATGCCCACCAGCAGGTCATTGATAAGCTCACGGTGCCTGCGGGCAAAGGTCCGGACCAACCACAGCTCAAGGAACAGGGCAATGCGCAGCCTGGATCGTTGGGCATGGGGGTAAGAACCACCCTACAGTTATGGCCATGGCTATTAGTGAACTAACTGGTGATTTCTATGGGATGATACATTCCATTTTAATGGGGTTATAAGTTGTTATAAGTACTTGTAACTGGTATTTCGAGCCATAACTGCAGGTATAGCACAAAAATCGCCATGGCGAAGTGGTGTCTGAGTTTTCGGTCGGTTTTTTTTCCGGTCGATTTTTGTTTGGTGGATATCTCGCCGAGAAAATTCCATGGGTCTAATGGCTGGTTGGTGACTGGAACCATGGATTTTTTAATGAATTTCCAGAAACAGTCACAGTTGGGAATAGTACCATATTCCCAACTGCCTTTCACTCCATCATTTTTCAGAGGGGTAGGGAAAAACCACCAACCAGCTAAGGAGTGTGACAACCAGATTCATATTGTGGGAGATTCGCAGGAAACTGTGGTGGAATTGCCATCAAATATATTCAAATATGATTTCTGCTTGGGCCCTGGGGCATGGGTTGACAGACTCAACGTCATAAAGGGGAAATCAACACGGAGTATCTATTATTGTCTATCATTTGTTTTAGAATTCAATAGCACAATAGAGATGTTGCATGTGTTTGTAGTGGTTCTTTTGTTTCCCTCCGATTTGTTGACTCTCTATTTCATCTATGTTCATTGGTTAAATCTCTTAAATTTGTGTATTTGGCTGGTGAATCCATCATTTTTGTGTTTTATTTGGTACCCAAATCCACCCATATCACTCCGCCGGCGCGTTGTTGCAACTCGAGGTATTTGGATTCCGCGTTCCCTGACCTGAGCGAAATTGTGGAAGCCAAAGTGCGATGAGCAACGTTTCGGACTTAAAATATGATGAAACGGATACTGTAGATGTTCCAAAGATTTGTAGATTATCAGAACAGCTAAGAAGTTCTAGATACCGAATGCAAGTTCAAAATATGTGTTGGATACATTAGTATATATAACTATACGCAGGGTATATGTCATTCCATTTATCTCTTGATGTTCCCTACGGCACCTTGTTGCTGTAGATGACTGAATCCTAAACCGCGCTGTGGAAACAGCGCTGCGCGCAGTGCTGATGCCTTCCAGAGGGAGAGTAGTCCAAGTTAAGGGGTAAACTTAAACACGAATGAAACCAACAATAGGGGTACACGTACAGCTATCAAATGCGGAGATTCAACAGTTACTGTAAAAATGGTGACTGATGAAACTAATCTTCGTCGTTCTTGATGTAAGTGGGATAGAATGGAATAGAATAAGATATGGTGATTCTAGGTAACCATTCTTATGCACGATTTACCAACCGTAAACGTGGGAATTCGCATCATTTTTCATATTTGTGTCATCTCAAAACTGCAAGAGATCACATTTCTTTGAAAGTCAAGTAAGCAAAGTCGATTTGGGTATGGTGGAGCTGCAGATGGATTGGCCACTCTTGAGTCACTAAGCATGTTTGAGTAAACCCTTTCTTTTGTCATCTACCTGGTCTACCCCATACAATTGTTAATTGTCACCACATACTGGTGTGAATCTCTCAACAATGTTTCGTTACCCTGATCGAATTGAAGGGCTATATCATGTATCAAGTGTCTTGCTGTGGCTATGGATGAAAAGTCTGGTGCCCGGGTTTCACATCAGACTAGTTGGTAAATGGTTGTTCATCCCCCAAACATGGTACTGCTATTGTACATTGTGGGCCAGTTATGGATGTGGGTAAACCTATCTGACTTTGTATTACAAACCATTATAATATATATATATATATATACATACACGCATAATATGTATATATATATAATGATATACCATAAACCATGTTGTAAAGCTCGTGACTTCAACCGAAACCCTCTCAACGGTTTCAGGAACGCGCTTATCAGCGGATGGTGGATGGAGCGCCTTGGACACCGTTTTTTCATAGAAGGGAGTTAACCTATCTGAGCAGTGTTCAGATCCCCGGTTAGTTGATGATGTTCGATGATTTCAGGGGTTAATCATCAATCTATAGGGGTTTTATGATGGGTTTGTAGGGGAAAACGATCCAACATTAGGGGTTTTATAACTGTCTTCTGGGAAAACTATCCAACATATAGGGAGATAGTTGATAAACACTGGTTGTTTAATGATTAGTTCGTCATTTTTCATATGGCTTTCAACCGACAAACTATAGGGATTTTTGAGTGGATAAAAGTGAGTGATGTTGTTGTTGTTTCATTTTTTTCGGGGATTGTACTAACCAATATTTTGGGGATTATCAAAATCATTTGAATAGGGAATCCCGTTCTCAAACAACCAGTATATTGTTAAGTCAACAATACATTACCTGAACTATACACCACCATTTGGCGGCAAATTGCCCAAAACATTGAAGCTGCCATCCATGCCCGGCTGAAATAGCAATGGTGCTCGTTTTCACATGGCGATGCATGAGATGATTGCCCAAAGTGCCATTGTCCATTGTCAGCTTTGTTGATATCCTCTGGTAACCTATAATAGCGAACTGGAAAATCACCATTTTTCATAGGTAAATCAACGAACTATATGGCAGTTTTCAATAGCTATGTTAAATTGCCAGAGGGTCATTGGGATTCATTTTTTTCTCCGATGTTCTCGCCACCCTTTAAGGGCCTTGAAATGGAGAAGTGTTCGCAAACCTGGTTGACATGGGGAATGCTCCCAAAATGTTCTGGTATATGGTTGTGGGTGTTAATTAAAGACCCGGACCACAGATGTTAGTCTAGTCTGGGATTGACCATCCAATTATTGGGGTACTCAATTTTGACTCATAGCCATATGGGGATTGTTACCCATATGAATTTGCCCAGTATATATATATATATAATCTTCCGAGGGGTTATGTTCAACTGTTTATTAATCTTCACTATTGTTTTCGGTGGGGTATGTTGTCACTTCGTTTTTACTGAGTGACAGTGACATGGTTCCCGATTATGTTTATCAATTATAGCTGGAAAAAACAACATATCACTGGATGATTGACAATGACAATTCAGATTAGAGTGGAACTGGTTGCCATTGCCGTTGGAATTGGTTGTTTTGTTCTTATCGAAACATTTCTGGACCCGTTGCTGCTTCAAATCTACAGATAATATGCCAGTACCCTCTGGTAAACTGACATAACTATGGAAATCACCATTTTCAACAGGTAAACCAACCATAAATGGACAATTGTCAATAGCTATGTTAAATTACCAGAGGGTACTTCTTGATATTTAGCCTCCTTATGTCGGCCTGTGGGGGTGTCTCAGACATGTTCCCATAGTATCATTGACCCAAGAGGGGTGCGTTTCCGAAAAATCATTGGACATCAGATCAAGCTGCAGTCTCTCAAAGAGAAGTCGCAGAGATGTTGCAAAGCTGGAACCGAGTCAACCTTCCATGAGCATTGTCATATGATATGCTATAATAGAAGTTGTCCATTTGATTGTTCTCATAATGATCAAGACTGATTGTTGGTTTGGAACATTTTTTTCCATACATTGGGAATAATCATCCCAATTGACTAATATTTTTCAGAGGGGTAGGTCAACCACCAACCAGAAGAGTTTTCCTGTTTCATACTTTGTTGTTTTCGCGATATATGCAGCTCATGTGGTGAATGCGGGATTCCGACCATCCCCAAATGCCTGGACCAAGGGTTGCATTGGGTTGCCTGGATATATTAACCATTTAACCTAATCAGCCTACTAATCAGCTAAAAGATGCCATCTTTCATAATGTTTTAGAGAAAGTGTCCTGATTTCCCCATGACACATCCAAAAAATAGAGAGTTGGATGCATATTACAATCCATATCAATCCATCATATCCCCAAAAAAACGGTGGTTAATCATCCAGCTGGTTGGTGGTTTGGAACATGTGTTTTTTTCCATATATTGGGAATAATATGGAATAATAATCCCAACTGACTTTCATATGTTTCAGAGGGGTGGCTCAACCACCAACTAGTAATTATTATTAACCATCATTAACCATATAATTTCATATAATAACCATTAATATTAACCATTAATATGAATAGTATATTACCAACCAAGGGTAGGTCAACCACCAACCAGTAATCATTATCAATCATCAAACATTAATCACTAACCATATATATATATATACCATATATATATATATAGCATATATATATACACCATTATACCATTAATCATCAACCGCATTCATAATATAAATGCCCAGTGTTGGTCACTTCCACCTGGGAAGTCCGGTGCCCAAAGCCCCCGCCCATCTCCGCTCCATCTCTGCATCAGGTCGCCCCATTGACCGGTCAGCGACGGACAGAGCCCCTTCCGTCGGTGGCGCTAAGACGGGGCAGCGGAATGGAGGTTTCCTGTGGTTTACTGGTGCTAAACGTAGGGAATGGATGGCATGCTGGGGGTTGCTGGGATTATGATGGATAGTTAGCCAGTGGATACCCTCTGGTAAACTAACAGTTTGCGAACTGGAAAATCACCATTTTTCATAGGTAAATCAACGAACTAAATTGGCAATTTTCAATAGCTATGTTAAAATACCAGAGAGTACCCCAAAATCATGGCTTTCAAATGGTTTCAATACGAAAATGCTGCAATTTTGTCTGGATGATTTGGGGTAGCCATGATTAGCCCTATTTTAGGAAACCACTGTATGTCTCAGGTCTCAGGACTCAGAACTGGTTCTGCAGGAAACCTTCAAAGAATGAGCGCATTTGACTGATACAATCCATGCTTTCCTGACCAGTGAAAAGTTGTTTCCTCAGAAAAGATTGCTTTTGGATCCAACAGTGAGCTGATTATGTCCAGCCTGTTGAGATCTATTGAATCTATTGAGTCTATGGGACAGAGAAACGACAGTCCCTCGGCAACGGTACGTGATTTAGTTTCATATTGACTTTTAGCATGTTTGGCAGTAAGTTTGTTTCGATCCATTTTATTTCTGAGACTTTTGGTAGCACTTTGGTGACTCCCAACTTTGTCTTTTTGCATTTGATACGCGGAACAGTGTAACGCCCAATATTAAAGAAACATATCTATTATTAACTATGATATTATATGCATGTACGTATATATATATATATAATTATATATATACACTCAATTTACTACACATGGTTTGCACAGCGGCCGTTTGGCAGACCTGCCCAGATGGTGCAAAAAAACATCCTCAATCTGCACCTCCAAGTCTCCAATCAAAAGGTGTCTTCAGACATATCTGTAGCAGCTGTTGATATTTGTTCATGCTGTTGCGTTCCTAGGTTTGACTTCTCCGATACATTTTATTTCTTGTGTATACACATTTATCGACAAGACGTGGCCCTCCGCTTCCAAGTTGGTTCATAACCTGTACCCCCACATATCACTGTAGTATGTACATGTATCTACTATGTAAAAACCACAGTCAACCCAGAAATCCACCAACTTCGCTATCTTGAGGGCCCTCACTAAGTGGCCTGAGGCATCAGCAGGGCCTTCGTTTTGCGACGAACTTCGGTACACAGGCAAACAATGAATTCTGCTTTGGACCTATTGGATTTCTATGATATTTCTGTGGGATTAATTACTGTGGGATTTCTATTGGATTTCCATGGTATTTCTCTGATACTTCGGTGATATTTCCATGGGATTTCCACAATGTATTACCCCAGCCGCCCTTGGGCAGGTGATCGTAGCCTTCATTGGCGCATTCCTCTTGGGGTGCCCACAGTTCGTCGAAGGGGTCGCTGACCAGATGATGTCCTCCAAAAAGTGGTGTTAGCTGAATACCCTCTGGCAAACTAACAGTTTGCAAACTGTAAAATCACCATCTTTAATAGGCAAATCAACGAACTATTCGTGTTAATTGTATAGCTATATTCAATTATCTCCGGGCATTTTTTTTGATTCCATGTTTGGCTTTCAAGGGTAACAATGAACAAACCCTTGATAACTGGATAAGCTTCTGCGGCCATGATCACCCGGCGGCGATTTGCATCAAGAACATGTTGCCACTTTGGAGTGCTTTGTATATATCTGGGCCGGTGGTTTCAAACATGGCTCTTATTTTCTATAAATCAGAATGGGATGTCATCCTTCCCATTGACTAATATTTTTTAAGATGGTTAAAACTACCAACCAGATATCCACAGTAGATGGAAAGGTGCTCAGCAACGATGAAAACTCTCTTGGCAAGATTACACTGCTGAGACCAGCCCCATGTATCCCCATGTTGGTTGGCTGCTATGGAAGGCCCATGTTGCTGGTTCATTTGTTTTGCTTTTCCACACCGACCTTATCTGGTTGGTGGTTTCAAACATGTTTTTTCCATATATTGGGAATAATGATCCCAACAAATATTTTTCAGAGGGTTGAAACCACCAACCAGTTATGATTCCAATCAACTTTGCCTGGCAGGAGTTCTTAACTATTTGACTTTGTGGCTTGCCCCACATAGTTCCTGACCAGATACTCCAGCCCACAAATCACCCCCGTTTCATCCCGTTTCATATTCATACTCAATGGCTACAGATTTCCAGGGATTTTTGGCAAGTACTTGCAATGCAGGATGATGGCCATTTGGCTACGAGTCAAAACCCTAGGACCCAAACGGTACCCTAAGTCATGGCTGCCGAGTGGATGTTTATTCAGTTTATTCGCCCAGTCACAGTAATTTCATAGGTTTTCACTCCCCATTTCAAGGTACTACTTTGTGGAAACCTTCGTGGCGCCTGAGAGCTTCAATGCGAAGGCGAAAAAGGGCTTCTTTTTCACACGTCAATGAAATGATGCCACAACCACCAAAATAGAAAGATATGAACGTATAATATCCTACTAGTGTAAAATGATGCTAATGAAATTATTGTTCCATCAGGGGCTATTGTTATTCTGTCCTACACATTTGCGATCTAAAGTGGCAATGATAAAGCGCAACATTTTCAGTAGGTAAGTGATCTCCAAAAAAGGGATTGTCCATTGCGATGTTGGGATGACTGGACGAAACGCAATGACCATATGTTTGTTTTGATTTGGGAAGTAGATCCATGCAATACTGAACCAAAAAAAACAGATAGATCATATGCCTGCTGCTTTGTCCACAACATCCCACTCAGGCAAAAAATAGCGACGCAATGACATAAGTGTGATTTTTTTCAATGTTGGTTTGTAACAGCAACCAACCAGCCAACAACTGATCTTTATTTGAGCTTGTTGACTATTGTGGACTCATTGTGTTTGCAAGAATATCCTGATATCCTTGAGACCTTCTAAAGTCAGTATCTAGAATATCTAGAATATCTAGAATCTATAGCGTAGAGATGTCCTTCTTACTCGTGCTCCATTTTAAGCGACGCAAGTATCATCCTTTTTTTCGTTCCCTAGATTTCCATCATGACTATCCCATCACTAGTCATTACTAATGTGGGATCATAGTGTTTTAGTAATGTTCACCTCTGATGGTTAGCTTTATTTATTTAGGGTGGGTTTTTCCAAATCGTAGGTCAACATTATCCATCCCAAAAAACATGACCAAATTCTATCCCATCACATCCCCGTCACATCCCCATCACATTGCTTATCTCCATTTATCTCCGCTGTAGAGGTGATCGCCGGCGCTAGCTGCTCCTTTGCCACGCTCCTGCTGGAGACCTTCTTGTTGCTCGGAGGGCGGCTCAGGGCAGCGAGCTGTTGATTGGGGAGTTGATGGCGGAGCCCTCGGTGTCTCATTGTCTTTGATGAACACAACTGGTGGATAAAACATGATAAACCATGGATTATAACCTCTGGTAAACTAAGATACCTATTGAAAATGGCCCATAACTAGTTCGTTGATTTACCCATTAAAAGTTGTGATTGTCCATATTTATGTTAGTTTACCAGAGGGTAACTGATTTAACCACGAACATAACCACGTAAATCAGGATTTCACCAGACAAACATGGATTCAACCAATAACATGGGATTTAGCCACCAACACATGGGATTTATATCATGAACTCGACATGGGCCATTGAACGTTGACCCATGGAGTGAAATGGTATTTGAACTGAAGCAGTTATCACACTAGAGTAACAGCAAGGGCAAGAAAAATCAAAGAAAAAACACTCACAAAGTAAAAATAAACAATGACGACAACAACATCAACAACACCAACAACCAACAACCAACAACCAACAACCAACAACCAACCACGACAACAACAACAACAGCAGCAACAACAACGACAAGACGACAAGGATAAACAGTGATAAACAACTAGCGGAAGAACAAAAAGAAAATACAGACGGATGTGTGTGAATTCTGGGTAGACTGATACCCTTCGGAAACTTACTTTAACTTGTTGCCTGAAAAGTCCGCATGTTCCAGATGTAAATCATCTTGAAATGGGCGGCCGACGTTCAGGGCCATCCAAAGTTTGGGTCCACTTTTGATTCGATAATTGGATCAATCAAATCAAACAGCAGCCAATGAGGTTAGTGATTCACGAGCAAAAGCAGACCATCATGGAGAAGTTGCTTGGAGTGCGCGATGATAGGGAATGGCTGGCCCCTTTTTGAGGGACTGTTTGGACATTTTTTGAATAACCATCTAAATTTGGGGCTGGTATTTGTTTGCTGGTTGGTTTTAGATATGTACTGCAAGCATCAGTCATATTTGGGATGATGATCCCTATAATATCCTATAATGAGCCACATAGGGCTTGAAACCACCGGTCGACCGATGACTCAAGGGGAATTTGTATCTGTTGGAATAGAGATGAATAGAGTCTGGCAGGGTGATATATATATATAATATAATATATAATATATAATATAATATAATATAATGTAATGTAATATAATATAATATAATATTTAATATAATACAATATAATACAATATAATATAATATAATATAATATAATATAGTATAATATAATATAATATATGGAAATCCATTGTTAAAGATTGATTGACACCATTGTTCTGATATATATATAGATAATATGGACGCAGATGGTGGTACTACAATATCATGTTAAAATCAAAACGCGGCATGTCATGAACAAAGTAGGTAAGGGAACTTCGCAAAATATATCTGTAACTTTGGGAAAGGGATTGGTTCGGAGGTATAGGGTTGCAGAACACTTTTGACCTTGCAACCCGTTAAATTGACAAATCTCTTCAGGCTATAACAACCCCATTTTGATCATTTGGAAATGGCTCAATCTTCTGATATACAGTATCCCAACCCAAAAAAAAAATCACATACCAAAACGGATTATTCTTGTGGCTCCAGTGATATCCACATAGTGATCGGTCGACTTCCAGGTTCCCAGCGGACACTTGTGGCTCTGAGGAAGAGAGAAAAACATGCCCAGAAGACTGCGAGGTGGCTGTGGTGGGACCTGGACCACTGGACCATGGGGTACTTGGAGGGTCTAGGTGTGACGATGTACCATGTCAAGATGTGACGATGTACCATGTCAAGATGTGACTCTTGAGACATCCAAAAACGGGGCACATCCAAACTCCTCCCACGCCCGGAGGAAAGTGGTGGCGGTGCAGCACCCAAAAAACGAGGCGGAACCCTTGGGAAAATTGGTTCGGAACATCTTGGTTTCCAACTCCAATTTATTGGATGTTATCCATTGGATGTTATTGTTTAACGGATATGTATGATAATATCCAATAACATCCAATAATTGAGGGAACATCCATAATTGGATAATCTATTGGATATTATTGTTTAATGGACATATTAACTTATGAACCATGGCAAATCATTGGATGAATATTGAGGGAAAATAGATCTATGTAACATCCAATAACTATGGTTTATAGGGGATAGATCTATCCTTAATGGGGCCCAAATATGGGATACGGAGGGATACAGGACATGAGCTGCGCAGTTCGTGTTCTTTTTGGTAGACCCTAATCCATAAACTCAAAATCTCAAATGGCTTTGCCTGAACATAGGTACCACAAAATCCCACGGACAATCATCACTTCCTGTTAGATGGGCCATTTGGGGAGTATGTTCCCCCATTTTCAGACACACCCACATGTTTCAAGGTTGGTAAGGGCCCGAAATGGTAGCCACAGGGGCTTGCCCATAATGCTTCACTCCCAGTTGAAACTCCAATCTGTACATCATGTGAGTGAATGGGTTTCAACCACTGCTTCCGGACCAGAAAGAATGCCTTCTCCGAAACTGGCAGGCAATAGTTTTATCGCAGTCCCATTTTAGCCATGGTGACAGTCCATTTTACCATAGCAGCTCTAGCCGGTTCAAAGCAACAGATCATGCCCACAGGCCCCTTGGGATCCCAAATGTGTCCCTTTCAGTTTTAAAGTTTCGAAGCAACCCAGCGTTTCCTGCTCAGGAGCCCAAAAGTGGTCAAGAAAAGAAAGATGATTGACGACCCCGCAGCAAAAAAATGCTCGGCGGCCGACCTCGCCCGAAAATGAGGATGAAGATACAGTTATGGCCATATGGCTACCAGTTGTAACTGGTTATTTCTATGGGATTATACATTCTATAAATGGGGTTTTGTTAGTACTTATAACTTATAACTGATCAATGGCCATAACTGTAGGAGTTGGTAAGGGGGGGACTCCATCCCAGAGGATGCAGATCATCCCAGGTGACGCCATTTTGAGGTCGCCGAGGTCGGAGCCAGCTTGGTGGTATTGTTTCGGTGAGTTTTCGTTTCTCACCCAAAAAGAAGCCAACTTGAGCAAGCCCCAAAAGATAGAACAGTCAACTGCGAATGCTGTGCTGGCGCGTGATGTCATTTTTTCAGTTTTTTCTATCCGGGCATTGCCAAAAATTCCGCATTTGTTGGGCGGAATGAGTTGATAGAAAATCCGACTCACCATCCCGGTGAGTTTCCAATGCTGTGCAGCTGGGATCCTGAGCAGCTGGAGGTTTGCGAGTTGTCTAGCCGGGCTACCCCCAGTTATCATCCATTGATTCGATGGGATTTAGTAGGATTATCCATGATCCATCAACCGTGGTAAATCCTCCATAAATTATCAACTTTAAGTAGGTTCACCATCCATTTATAGATGAGATCATTTTCCATGAAATCAACCATCCAGCGATAAAGGGGTACCCCCATGACTATGGAAACCCCCAAGTGACGGCATAAGAGGCAGAAAAAATGGTAAATCGCAGCAGCTTGGATCAAAACCTCCTCCAGGCATGTCTACACAGTTGCCACAGTTGGCTCAGTGTCTGGCATCGTCTACCTGCAAAACATGTATGGTTTGTACCTGGACCCTCCAAGGACCCAATAAAGTTGGCAATGTTACTGAAAGTACAGGCCTACTACCTAAAAAGTCCATACGCGACACCATGCCATATATTAGTACAGTTGGATTGTCCTTGGTTGCTGCCGGTACGCTTCCCTCTCGATATCCCAGTAAGTCGTCAATAGATTAGAAAGTTCTCCAGATATTTCATGTATGATTCATAGCTGGACTACTACAGTTGGGCAGTCATGCATGCATAATTACGACATATCACGACCCAGTTATTGAGTAGGGTCTTTGACATCCAAGTGAACAAAAGCAACCACACATATATATATATATATAGATGACGTCACAAAACAAAGACAACAGATGAAACAAAAACACAAGGATCCAAAACGGGTCTCACTTGTTTGCTTCCACAGCCATAGTTTCAAAACTTGCCTTATTTGGAAAGCCCCGCGCTGGAGGTGGACTGCTGCTTTCTGGAGGGTGTAGGAATGAGTCAAAGCCACATGGTCTATGTATGACATTGGGTTGCTGATTTAATAGTTTCATGGTTTCAGATATTTTGCATGTGTAGCATTAAGGATGGACACTTTTCTTGGCCATGCCTACTTGAGATGATTATCATTTATTATCCAATCCAAGTCACTCATGAGCGTTTTTGGGATGGGTTGAAACTAGAAACCATTAACCATCTTGGCAAATCATCATATTATATAATATTATATATATACATATATATTGAGATGTAGTTTTTTCTCCAAATTGGGGGACAGTGTCCAGCATTATAAGCTGTAACCAAGAAATCTAGAAAAGCCCAGTGCGAGTTTGTTCCTATCAGTCTCAAGCTGATGAAAAACATGGCGGATCTCAACCATCTGAGCTCATGCCTGTCATGACAACTGTGCGCCCTAATAGAACCATGTTTCATAACATTAACTGCTTGGTGGTTTGGAACATGAATTTTATGATTTTCCATTCAGTTGGGAAGAATATTCCCAACTGCCTATTCTTCAGAGGGGTTGAAACCACCACCGGTTAATGAATTCTAGATTCTAGATGATTATCACACTGGTTACTCTTACAATATCTTACAATGATGATTCTCCAGGCCAACTATCGATTGGGTTGTTTGTACTCTGGTTTTCTTGCTTAGGCCCTGCCGCGACTCCCCTAAGCGGTTGTCTCCTCACCATTGTTTCATACCTGCTTCACCATAGCCATCTGTGTTTACAATACACGGTGGTGCCCCATGGTTGGCAAAGGTGGCAGACATAACTCCAATAACTTGGGTTTATAGTAGGACCTAGGTATATTTATACTTCATGGGCGAAATCAACCAACAAACATAACTGCGGGGCGGGCACCACCACCTTGTATGTGCCATGGTCAAAGGCCGAATGTAGACGAATATTGGAGGATGATCATTCGGCACTGCTCTGACTGGACCATGGCTCATCATTTTCAGGTTTCACTTCATTTATTTCATAGTGTCTTCCATGTTTTTGTTCCAGTGTATGAAGCATGATATGTATTTGTTCACTTTTTTCTGTACTTTCATCATAAACCAGTTGGATTGTCATCATTTTCATGTGGCATAATGAAAAAAAAACAATATAGAAACTGTAGAAACTATAGTTCGAGATATTTACCACCATAAACCCAAAAACATCTATCTACATCTACTATAGTTCGGTATCTACTATCTACATCTATCCACCATCAACCCCAAAGTGAACTGCCAGGTGGCTGCGGTGGCTGCGATGCCGTAGGAGCCCCAGGGATGGCTATGAGCCGGCTATGAGTCGCCTAGGAGAGGTACCCTAAAATAGCTGGTTTAATGGATGATTTAATGGATGGTTAATGGATGGTTAATATGGTTAATCAAAAATATGGATGGTTAATATGGTTATTTAAACGGTTAATTTAATGGATGGTTTACCATATTTGATGGTTAATATGGTTATTCAAACTGCTACCCAAATAACAGGTATTCTCCATAACAGGGAAATTCATAATTGATGATCAAAACCTAAGAGTATACAATGTAATGTCCCCAAATATGATAATCATAGGTTTTGACCCATCTTCATATCACTCTAGTGTCAATGGGTCAAAGCTCGCAATCAGTTGGTAACCAGAACTCCAAGAACTCGTTTTTTTTTGTAGCTATATCTATGGTTACCCTCTGGCAATTTAACATAGCTATTGAAAATTGCCATTTATAGTTGATTTATCCATTGAAAATGGTGGTTTTCCATAGTTTTTTGTATGTTTACCAGGCCGGGTATATAAACCAAGAAACCTGACTTGGGGTTGCAGCACCTTGGATCGAGGATTTAACCATGGCAGTTTCCCAACATGGGGAGACCCGCAAATCATCCAAACTAAACTGTTTTCGCATATCTTGAGCCCATGGTGTGGGACACAGAGGAATTTTAACCATCAAACTAGTGCTGAATTAGCTGTTATCAAAGGAGTCAGACACAGTTTTACTGTTGGTGATTATTAAAGGAGTCCTATGAGTTAATCATGAGCAATCTTCGAATATACCACAATGTGGCCCCCCCCAGTGTTAGTTTGGTTCATAAACCCCATGAATACTATAGTTATAAGTACAATAAACCATAGTTATTGAAGTTATGTGAACCCCAACTTAGCGATTTCGTTAACGGGGGCCACACGACTTGTAGAGATAGACGGGATGTGGTCAGGTCATATGATGGAGATCTGACGGGAAGCCGATTTTCTCAACACTATGATGCTGGTTGGATCCATACCCATATTTGCTAGTTGATTTTCATCAGATCCCTGAAAACAGCACATTGTATCGCAAGACTAAATTTTCTGATTATTGCTGGTGATTTTATCCAATTCTGCCCTGGTGTTTTTAGTCTGGTGTTGAGTCTCGTTATTATCTATATCACATTTATCTTTTTGAACCATATCCTACTACTATTATGTTGTTATGAATATGTAACTCACTATTATGAACATTGTGTCATATGTCAATATTACCGTTATCATTATTACTATTATTATTGTGACTATCCATATGTATATGTGTTGTTTATTTTGTTATTGTTAGTGTTGTTCTTCCTATCATTATCAACATTTACCCCCATTATGATCAGAAAGAATGGGATATTATTAATGATAATATATATATATATATATTATTGATCCCATTCATACCCCATTCTTCCTTCACGAGAATCATCTCCAGATTGCGAACTGATCTCTGCAAGGTTGGTGAAGCTCTTCTCACGTGCGCCATTGAAGGTGCTGGGAGCTGATAGGGGGAAGGATTCCCTTGATGTGGGCCATTTTTTATCGTGAACACATGGGAAAATCATGGGCCTATTGTCAAAAACCAAGAAATTTGGGATCGGAATGATGAGGGACATGATGATTAACTCTTCCAAGCAGCCATGAGAGTGGGTAATTAACAGTATTCACTGGTTGATGGTTTGGAACATTTTTTAGTTTTCCATACATTGGGAATAATAATCCCAACCGACTAATATTTTTCAGTTCAAATTGTTGGGTAACTTGGGGGGTCTAGGTACTTAGTTAATGGGGAACATGATGTTTCACCAACACTTGGAGCGAGAGGGTAATCTATTTTGACAAACGAAGCCACATGGCGTCGTAATCAACAAACATGAGCTGCGACCATCAAAAAGAGGGATTCAAAATATGTTCCTCTACTCCCAAATGGGAAAACAACCAAGCAAACAGACGAGAATATATGTTCAACGAACAAGTGGGGATATCACTTGATAAGCAACAAATCAACCTGTGGCCTTTGTGTGATATTTTGCTTCGGCCCACAGGACCACTGCCAGTTGGCAGGGCTCAGTTGAGTTTTTCGAAATATTGATGTGGATTCATCATTGTTCGTATGACTAACCCACGAATATCAGGGTGAATATGATAGCAAGCGGAGAAGAAAATCAGTATGTTTGAGTACCATTGATCAAAAAAGAGTGGTTCCCAAAATGGGTGACCCCAAAGTGCTATGTCACCATGTGCCATCGAGAGCCGGTGCCACAACGCTGATACCATGGAAGTTTTTGAATCCCAGCAGCAAACATTTACTCGGCAGGTGCGAGTGGACATGCAAATCCTTTCAACAGCTACAGTTATGGCCACTTATCAGTTATAAGTACTTATAACCCCATTTATAGAATGTATAATCCCATTTATAACCACTTATAACTGGTAAATGGCCATAACTGTATGAATGGCCATTTGATATGTGTGTTGAAACAATATATTGAAGAACTCTGTGCAGAAAGTCAACTAATGTAGAAGAAAGTGTGGGTCGAAGAAAGTGTGGGTCTAAAAATGGATGAAAAATGGAGGCATAACCAGTCTGTATAAAGAATATGGATATAAGATGGAGACGTGAATGCGTGGTGAATAACTACAAGGAAAGTCTTTGTTTAGTAAAGCAAAGACAAGCTCTTACCCCTCTACCGTCCTAGCCTCCTACTCTCCGACCCTCCGACGTTTATGCATCTACACATCATCTATATCTGAACTACGTACAACAACTAGGCAAAATGCATGAGCAGATAAACAATTTTTACAACCAGTATGTACAACCAGTATCATTTAAAAAAAATGGGTTGAAGGTGATTTAAAAAGAGAACACACCAGAAACATATCCACACAAACAGTACTACAAAAAAGTAGTTACGTGGATACTTCAAACGGGGAGGATCAGAGATCCCAGATGCGATGGTGTCGACAAACGCTCTTCGCATTTAAAAAAGGTGCCATCAAAATTTTGTTTTCAAAACTTCCATTTTTGTGGATCAAATCTGTATGGAGTATATCACCTATATCACCTTTCTTGTTGCGGACCGGATAGATGTTTGTTGTTGCATAGCAGCATTTTGCTGCGAGCATAGTTGTGAATCACTATGATTCACAATTTATTCACAAATTTGTTTTAGTCAACTATACTCTTGTTGTTATATTTGTTGTTCTCACCACTCCCACAAACACCATCGGGTCGGTTGAAGGAAAACTTGACATGACCACTAAATACAGTATATAGGAGTCCCCAATCAAGTTAATATAAGATTTGAGATGTTTTGATGGTTGATTGTGCTTCATGTTGCTCTCTCTTTGGGTATCACTATATGAAGGAATTGTAGGGTTTCCCATAGTCAATTCATGCACCTCTGAAAATAATATGTTTGTGGTTGCATTCACATCTCTTAGCAAAACAATAGGTCCAATACGTTTGATATTATCTTTTGGTTCTACCCAACTCTTTGTAACTTAAATGTTTGCTTTCGTGTCTTAAACTGCCATATGTTTTTTATTTTTTCTGGATGGTTGAATCCCCTTACTTTCATAGCCGAAAAAAACTCATATCCTTTCTTTCATAGCCAATAAACAACACTTTCATATGCGAATCACTCAAATCCCCTTACTTTCATAGCCAAAATGAGGGGACTTTCCATGTTCTTCGCGGACTTCCCACATCCAACTCTCAGTTTTGAATCCCCGGTGGCAATTTGGGTTGTCATTTGGTCCCAGTCCCACTGTTATGACCCGAAGCACCAGTTATAAGTCCTTTGTATATATAACCATATATGACCCCATTTATAGAATGCATAACCCGATTTAACACAATTTTTAACCAATACCCCACTTATATATGGGATTTTTTATGGGTTATAAGGTTATATGTCTGGATTGTAAAGTATTTACTAAGTGGGATGCACATTGGTCCCAGTTTTTTCCCACCTCCCCGATCTCCCCGAAGTGTGAAAAGTGTAGGTCTCGGCCAGCGTTCTACACAAGTCCCTCGCGGAGATCTGGGGTGTGAGCGCCACACCCGAGCCCCGGCGGTGTCGGCGGTGTGGGCGGTGTACGTGAGCCATGAAAGATACCCTGTTTGAATTGGTTTCCATAGGGAGTTACCCTCTGGTTATGTCAACATAGCTATTGAAAATGATCATAGGAATAGTGGATTTTCCCATTGAAAATGGTGATTTTCGATAGTTTTTTGTATGTTTACCAGAGGGTATACTGCCGAATTTCTTGGGGATTATGATAATCCATATATTGGAAAACCAAGTTCAAGCAACTTGTACATACAATGAAATGTGACAGGGGTATTGTTTAATGGCTCAATAGTGAGCAGTGTCAAACCATGTCAAATGTTGTTTATGGTTAAAACATGTTAAAACAATGGGATTCCTTATTGAAAAGGGAGCAGCCAACAATCCATTACATATTGGAATAACTAAACTCACCGAACATAAGAATAGTTGAGATCTAACCATCAAAACCATGACGTCGCAACAACGTTGACGAAAGATGATGGTCAGTAGGGGAATCATCCCAAACTGACCTTCTTTAAGTGAGTTATTGTTATTTAGCCATAATAAAAAGTAGGCATCATTGGTTTATAACCAGATATAACCAGACTGGATATATGGTTCATGGTAGATATATCGAAATAGTTAGATTTCCAATCATCAACTACTGTGACTGAAACAATAAGTTTCATTGTTCCATCGGAATGTAATTCGGATATATTGGGCGATAATTAACCATGGTGGGATAACGGGAATTCATGGAATATAATGGGATATATAGGGCCAACACTATGATATCTAATGGGTGTGCATAAAAACATGGGGCATTTTCCGTATATTTTGAGCCATTATTCAATGCGGAAGATGAGGCTCAATGGAATTTCGGAATACCTTTCAGACAAACCCAGGAGGTGATAGGTTCACTGCAGTATTCACTCAGTATTCGTAGTTTGCAGTAAATTGCTGGTTGGTGGTTTGGAACATTTTTTTCCATATATTGGGAATAATCATCCCAACTGATTAATATTTTTCAGAGGGGTTGAAACCACCAAGCAGATTGTGTATTCTCAATTTGTAAAAAAGTAAGCGAACTGTGTCCAGATTCGTCTACTATTTCCTTCCTTGTTTTGTTACAGACTTATCCACACACACACACTCTCTCTGTCTCTAGCTCTTGGTTGTTGCCGGCACTCATGTTCCTTTCTTTGGAGTGGAAAAGAGTTTTCAAGACGGGCACAGAAATTTGCACGCCGTTGTCGGCATGGCCTCAGCCCAGTTTCCCGTTATTCCGGTGCAAGGTCAAGTCTAACTATGTCTAACTGCTTGAAGGCTATTGTGGTGTAGATGTGTTTTTTTCTCCGTGCTTTACCTGCTGCATTTGGTCTACTACCCAGTGTTTGTTTCTGCAGAAGCCCTAGCTTCTGCAGCGGGATGGATGGTTGACCCAGGAAAGGGCATGGGGGGCTTGAGTCTGTCGTTGTTTTTGTGTCTTGTTCCCGCTTTCATTTTGACTTCAAGTATGCACACATGCCTATCATCACCAAATGGTACTGTCAAAGGAACCATTTCAATCAAGAAGCTGTAAGATTGTCACTTTTTGTTTTTTTGGATTACCCTCTAGCAAATCAACATAGCTATGGGAAATCGCAATTTTTAATAGGTAAATCATCATGATTCATATATAAATGGGCAATTGTTCATAGCTATGTTAAATAACCAGCCGGGTGCCAAGGGAGTGATGAAAGTCATTAGCCTGCCAGTGCAAGATGTGCGGGACCACAGGATTGTTCTTTGCCGATTTGATTGTGAGGATTCCATGCTGAAAGGAGTATTCCCAGACGTCCGATTTGAACATGGTTGAACTACCCTCTGGTTATTTAACATAGCCATGGAAAATGACCATTTTTAATAGGTAAACCCAGGTGAACCATCTATAAATGGGCCATTTTCCATGGCTATGCTAAATAACCAGATGGTAATGAATACTGAATGAAAAGAATCCAATTCTAATCCAACCCTGTTTTTTTTCGGTGTCCTCCCTGCCATTTGCCATGTTTTTTGGTTCGTACAATTTCCACACCAAGGTGATTTGTCTAACCATTATTGCGTGCTGGTCAGGGTCATTCCAGCCCCACCAATTTGGTTCATGATGCGTCAAAGTATTTTCCTTGGTTTTTGATACCTCAAGTCATCCCAAGTTGCATGGTTCTAAGTCACTTTAAGTCACTCTAAATTATGGCTCGTTGCATGGTCGAAAAGCATGGTCAAAAAAAAGTGCGTTCCCAAGCTGTCAATGCCAAGGCTGGAGTAAACAACATGCAGTTATGGCCATTGTTCAGTTATAAGTACTAACAAAACCCCATTTATAGAATGTTTTTCATCCCATAGAAATAACCAGTTATAACTGGTAGCCATGGCCATAACTGTGGTTGGCCAACTCGGGCTTCCATCCTGATGAAAACTGCACAGTCAACGCCAGTCAACACTGGGATGTGCATCTCAGATATACGGTTGATACTCAGTTCATAGCCTAAAAAAAACTGTGTCGATAGATATACATGCACACTAATATAGTTGGCACATTAAATTAGTGGACATATTTAACTGTTGCAATTAATTGTATAATATGTGTTCATATGCTTCTTACTACCAGTCTTACTGGGATTCACAGCAACCATTGGCCGAACAACGTGGCATTTCGTGCGTCCTGCTGCGAGTGAACTCCCGGGTGATTTTTGTTGCGTCGCCCATGGTGGGTACCCTCTGGTTATGACTAACATAGCCATGGTATAGATGGCCCATAGAAATAGATGGTTTACCCATTAAAAAAATGTGATTTTCCATAGTTATGTTAGTTTACCAGAGGGTAGTTATCATGGTATAGATGGCCCATAGAAATAGATGGTTTACCTATTAAAAATATTTTAAACTGTCATAACCAGATGGTAAATGTTCTTGCATGGTGTCTTTCCGCTGCAGCTTTGCAACCAGCAGACCAGCAGGCAGCAGGCTATCACAACAAACCCAGATGTGGTGGCCGAGTGAAAAAGAGTAGCTGTAGGTACGGATACTGAGTAGCCAGCAAACATTAGCAGTGCCATGTCCACCGGCGTGGGATTTTCCTCGTAGAGTTGTTGAAGAACATCCTCTTAACATCACTTAACCCATTTTTTGAGACCCCTGACCGAGATTGTACCATGTTGAAGTGAATGATCATCGCACTGCTTCGGGTGCTTCCCAGATTGTAAGTGGGTAAGTGGGCAACAAACATACTATAACCATCTATAACCCACATATATATATATATATATGGAATATACTCCGTTGTGTCATTTTTGTTGGCCAAAAAAGTCACCCCACTTCCTAGATCAACGGGATGTCCAGCGATTTGCGAGGTGAAAAAATCCTCATGAAACCATCGCTATGACCTCTATGAAGATTAAAACCTCTATGTCATCTCCATGGATCCCCCTACTTCTGAGAGGCTACTTAAAGACTTCGCACCCCCAGCAGCGTGTAGAGTTTTCTGATTAGTCTGGGCGTCTCTCAAAGCGTAACGGATAGCCCCAAATTAGATGATTGATCATCATAGCATGTTCCCTGTTAAAATGGCCAGAAAAAGGGGGTATACCTCGGTTTCACTTGAAAAACTCTTAAATATTACTTAGTGTTGAAAAATGTTGAAAATTTGTCCCATTTTTTATGTTTATTGTAGAAATTATATGACCAAAAAATATCCTCTTCATTCTGCATGTCTTAGATGTCTTAGCCATGGAGATTTGAGCATTGGATACTCTGGGGCCCCAGAAATACATTTATGGCCATTTTTCAGTTATAAGTACTTATAACCCCATTTATAGAATGTATAATCCCTTTTATAACCAGTTATAACTGGTAAATGGCCATAACTGTAATCATCAATCACGATCATTTATCACTTATGTCCACTAAAGTTCACGATAATTGTATGGTTAAAACCTCGAAAAAAGACGAACTAATCATCAACTTTTTTTTCTTTAATCAACATTGATCAACTATATCTCCATATGTTTAATAGTTTAAACTCCCCTAGAAGCCGCACTTTAAAAGCAGATCCTACAGCCAGATGGCACTCGCTGGTCATCCAAGGCCAGTGGTGCAGAGGAGGTCTACATCGACATCCGTGCCAAGCAGAAGCCGGAACGCACGCAGGAGGTGAGAAGCCAATTTTGGCTGAAAGCGAGCTGAAAGTGGACTTTTTTGCATGAAGAAAACAGGGTTTCACCAGGAGAAAGTAGGGTTTTGAGAAGCCAAACACGCTGATGAAACTGATGAAACTGATGAAAACTGGCAATCGAAGTGCTAAGAAGTGCGGCGCTGGCAGGTCTTGCAGACCTGTTGCCAACGCACGGCCGAGCTCTTGTCTTCGTGTCCTGGATGCGTGTAGTATGCTATATTTGGAATAGCATTCCAAATCGTGGGGATTCAACCAATCCCAAACAAAATAGATGGTTGATGCATGTTAATGAATGAAAGATAGTGCAGAAGCCCTTACCTTGTGCGTTTGTTGGTAAAAGTCCCAACAAAACTATGCAGGACATTGCAGGACATGGTCAAATATCTGAACAAAACTGGGTTGTATATGGTTTGATCATGGGCGGGGCGATTCAAGACCAAGTGGCCACAGGTGACAGTTGTTCACTGATCAATTTTTGGGTACCTCGAATGATATACCGAACTAGTGACGATCCAAGTAATAGGCATTTGTGTCGTTATAGTTAGAGCCCATAATAGCTGTAGTATGCTGTAGTATTAAATTCTTACAGTTCACGACGAGTAGGAGTAGTAGGAGAAGCTTCGGTCGGCAAATAGTCTGAGTAGCAGTAGTAGGAGAAGATGTCAGACAAACAACAGCATGGAAACAGCAACTGCGGCAGCACCAACGACAACTGACCCAACAGCAAGAACTTTGCCAACCATATCAAACACATTCAAAAACAACAGAGTCAAAAACACCAGTGACAAAGCCAACGCAGAGCTCAACAACAACTCTAGTAGCAGAAACACAGCAGTAAAAGAACAACTACATTCACCATCATACAAGGTGTTTAGTCCACTCATATTTTACTCGGGTTTGTGGTAATTTAAAACTATAGTGTTCATGGGGTGTATAAACTAAGAAACATAACTGCAGGGTTCCACCTTGTAGAACAATATATGTTCCATGTGCCACTGCGGAATCTGAGATGCCTCAGCAAAGCCTGATGACGACAGTTCCTTGATTTCATCATTGCAGCCATATGGAGGTTTCCCAACAACGTCGCTCTTTTTTAGGGCGGAATCTCTTGTCTACAAAGTTGTGCCTTCCCCAGGTATACAGCAGAGATATTCAAATCCGAGTCATTCATTGTAGTCAAAAAAACAACTCTATTATCTTGAACCCCCATACTGCAGACCCGAGGTGTAATACTAATTCCTTCCCCCTAATGTTAAATACCCGCTTAGAAACCATGGTTTTGAAGGGAATTTCCACATAGTTGGGACCATACAATTGGGGTGTTAAGATTAGGGTGATGGGATTACTTCATTTGACCCCCCCAAACAGTTGTCATTCGTTTTCGGTACAGCGAGATCACCGCGATCAAGGCATGGCCATTCTTCCAAAGTGCGTTTGGAAACATATGAGCCATCCCTGCAATTTACAGCCGCGTCTGAATGATGGAACTGTTAACGGAACAGTTTGGAACTGTTTCAGAAAACTCTATCTATTGTCTGCAGTTGATCCTGAAGCAATCTCCAGTTTGGGCGCAGAATTCAACACACCCAGTCTGGAGAAAGAAGTCAAATTAGACCATTTTGGATGTGAAGATCATCCAGCTGATGTCATTGATGCCCTGTCGAAGGGAGCCTGTTTGACCAGTTTGGTGTGTTGAGTTCGGTTCTTAGATCCTAGCGGATCCCAAAGTCACCATGGGGTTTCCATACTAAAATTATCTCTATGATTTTGGATGAGTTGGGGGTACCAGCATTTTAGGAAATCTCCATTTTTGGATCGCACCTAAATGATGAAGTTGTTTTCCATTTCCAAGCGTTGCATGTGTTTGGTAGCAGCTGGTCATTCAGCCCCATTCGCACTGTGCAAACTGCGTGGTGTTCAAAGAACGGATGTTGCATCTGCACGGCGAGAAAATCCTCGCATTTGCAGGCCATGCAGCGTGCGTTCCAATATCGGTCACCAGTCACATCATCAATACGGGATTGTTTTGTAGGATTTTTGGTGGGTTCCTATCCATGTCAAGCAGCCAAGTTGGTAATTATTGAAGTTTCTACCTGGGTTTATTGGGTTTATGGATTACCAATAATCTTAGCTGCATTGGATTACTACTGGTTTGCTGGATTAATTACCCATTATGGGTTTATTTGATTTGCAAGAGAAGAATTCACCGGCACCCGGCGTCCCAAAAACCCAAATTGGGCTGTACACAGGTGGCAATGATCGCTCCCATTGACCACAAGGATGGCTACCAACTACTTTAAGCATTGGAAGAACCAGTTGATGAACCACCCTTTACTAGAATGATGGGAATAGGATTGGGGTAGCTATCATGAGAGAATGCTAATCTTTTGTTAGGTGAATTATATTGAATTATGATTATTCATCCAAACATACTATATATATATATTACAATATAATATAATAAATACAATAAAATATAATATAATAAACTATGATATAATATAATACAATAATACATTTATATTTATATATATATCAACTTACAAACAATGGACGGCATCAGTCTCCTTCTGTATTCACGTGTTTCATCTCTGTGAGCGCCAATGGTTGCTATCCTTATTCTGGTCGGCCAATTCCTGCAACATCCTCATTGTCAGTAGGAACATGACCTAGAAACAATCAGGATTTTCCACGTTCCCATTTGCATTTTCCATGTTCCATTTCGAAACAATTCGAATAGTGTCCCAATTCCACATGTCGCATGTTTTCGTGCCTCGCAAAACCCCACCAGTTTTAATTAAGTTGATCTATAAATTAGTTTTGAATATCTATACTTTATGTTCCGACTTCATATATAAACATTATCAACATTTTTCATTATAATTCCAAGTTTATCTTTATTTATCTATATATATATTGCTATTTTATTATTATTTTGCCATTAACTATAGTTATGACTGCCATCCACCCAATTTCAAACGCAGCGATGTGGCTCCCTGCACCGCATATCACAGCAGCTCCAAGGAGAGGGCTGCAGGGCAAGAATGGCAGAACACCGAGAACCTCTGATAAAATAATGTAAAAATGCGATATAATGGTGATAAATTAATTAATGGGGATTTAACCAACAAAAAATTGGATATGAATGATAATTACACTCAGGTAAACTAACATAGCCATGGAATGGCCCAGTTAGTTCGTTGATTTACCTATTAAAAGTGGTGATGTTCAATAGCAAAATGCTAGTTTACCGGAGGGTAACCTGAAGATTTTGGGATGTAACATGATATGTCACTGGGATGGTTAAAGGGCAAATTGAAACCGGAAAGCCCCATATTTAATGTGAAAATCCATGGTTTCTTGTAACGATGGTTTCCGTTTAAGATGTTCCCTTCCAATCCATTGAGATATAATTGTTATAACCCCCAAAACAGCTTCAACATACACTGTAGTGTATTTTTTTTCAGTAGTGATCTATCACCATTTGATCAATCACTTATCCCGGATAACTACTTCAACATACCCTCTGGTAAACGTGTACATAACTATGGAAAATCACCATGCTATTCATGGGTAGTCATCAACTATAAATGGCTATTTCCAGTTCGCAAACTGTTGACATAACCAAGAGGATAACCCACCACAGGCGAACTCGTACTCTCATTAGATTGGTTTACGGACATTTTACAGGAAACCCCATGATCTAACCATGGTAAAAACCATTGTAAAACCGGTTAAGATGTTCCCAACAAAACCAATCCAATGAAACTCGTACTTGATCATTCAGGAAGTGCAGTCGTCGTTTTATGGGCTAAATCCCCATGAAATAATACCACCGCTTTTTGCGGCGGTCTGCCACATAGCTTTCTGGTAAACGGGGATTCCCCGTGGGCATCGAAAAACACATTTAGAAATTGGGATATATATATATATAGCCAACAAATTCATTGATCATGATCATGAATTATAGATATGGAACATCAGAACATTTTCATAGGTAAATCATGGAACTAAATGGGCCATGGCTTCCATAGCTGTGTTAAATTTCCGGAGCGTATGTATAGCTTTGCGGCCGTTGAAATCCCCATCGTTTGACCCAACACGGATCAACATGACCATTCCCCCATGGAATAAACTTAAATACCACTATATGACAGTATTACATTTTTTGCAGCAAGTGACATGTCCAAATGTTTTAATCTGAAAATGAATAATCCCATCCTCCTTTTATTGACTAATAGTGTACCCAGTGTACCCTAGTTCATGAACAGATATGATACATTCCACCAGGGTTAGTATTCAATGGGTAGGATTGTCTAAGATTAGTTGAGCATCCCATTGGAGCACACCCCAAGTTGCTCCATCCGAAAAGGAATCCTTTCAGGGGCCCCGTGGAGTTCGAAGGATGGTTTTCTTGGGGATTAACATGGATTAACGGGATGTCGTGTGGTTTAACGGTTTAAGGGTGATTCAATGGGGTTGAATGGCATTTGCTAGGGATTCATGGTGATTTCATGGGAATTGAGGAACGACGTCAATCCCATCCAAGTGCTACTCCCCTTCAGGAGCCCACAGCACGCCATGGCCGCTGCCCTCGCCGCCACAGTGAACTCTGAGGCCTTGAAAGGGCGCCAAGGGCCCAATAAGGAAAAAACATATCAGAAGGATTTAAGCAATATATGTGTATGCACACATGCATATATATATATATTCCCACACTGATGTATATATATATATATGTGTATATGTATATAAAATATGTATAAATATGTATGTATATTAATTATAAATGAAATATATATATATATGTATATGCAGTTATATGTAAAACATATAGATATCTTAAATACAGTGCCAAGAAAGACGTGGTCTTTCGAAGCAAATCCAATCCTTGGAGGTGCCGATGCAAAATGCGAACACCGGTGACGACGAATGTCGTGGCCGTTGTGCACCATGTCACCATGTTTGTTGATTCTGTTGATGGTTTAACCCTGGGGAGTCTATGCGAAAATGATTTGTGCAGTTTTTGTTTATCCTTAAATCCCTTCCAAAGAGTCCAGTGGGCGTAGCAATGACTCAGGGAGTCTCACACAGGGATAGGTCCTAGGTGGCTTCAGTTTCCAAAAGGGAGTTCGACATGAATATGCCATGAGCATGAGTCATTCCATCTTTGTAGCTCCGTAGTTACAAGGTGGGGCTTCCCAGTTGCGGATCTTGGTCTATAGATATCATTCTATAGATAGATAGATAGATAGTGATATATATATATATATTCATATTTCATACCTATATATGTGTATGTATATATATATATATGATTATATATATATACCCACCCCACCACGAACCCTACTTATAGTGAACTAAACCAGCTTGGCTAACTTTGTAACAGCTATTGCCATGACCAAGTCTTCTCGTTGGTTCTATAAAACATGTGGTTGTTCTATGTTGTTTCTTGGAAATAAAACTATTGGATCCTGTAGTTCATTGTTTTTTATATTACATGTTCATGTGTGTATATAAATATTCATATAACTATTACATGTTCATATTACATGTTCATAGAACTATTCATGTGTATCATGTCATTTTTCGTCTTTTTTTGCATGTCAATGGTGGTACGAAATCCCTCTCCGCCAGAGGGGTTGGACTCCACCTTGAAACTCGATGCCTCATCCACGCACGGGGACCCTTGGGAGACCTGTGAAGTCCAGAACGGGCAGGTGTCGCACGCTGGTTCAAACTTTATTGGTTGGTGAAAGTTGGTGGTTTCAATTAAGATATGATGTTTCAGTACCAATAGATGTACAGTTGTTAGTACCAACTATCTCTTAATCAACTTTATTGGTTCTTAAGTTGTTTCAATTTAGTTGAGACATGAGATCCAAAGAAATTACATCACGTTACAGTATGTTTTTTTCCGAATGGTGATCACAACAATGGATTAACGTCCAGGTGTCCCAGGTGTCCCAGGTGTCCCATGACCAAGGTATCACTGGAAAGATAATCCCAAGTTCTTTTTATGCTGTTTCCGTCTACAAGGTTAGTCAGGAACTGTTAGCTAGGCTTTACATTAATCAATGATTACATCTATGCAACATTGTTTGTCAGGCTTGAGAGGTCTGAATCTGTTCCTATAAGATGTCCTATTGGTGTTGTGAGTTGTTAGTTTCCAAGGTATCAGGCATCTTCAGGCGTCATATGCCATGGAGCTTTGCTTTTCGGTCGAGTGGAAGTGTGAAGTCCCTTGCACCTGCCAATACGATGACTTCTGGCTGGAGACAACCCAGATTTGAAGCGGTCAGTAACCATGGCAACCATTGCAGTTGATTCACTTCCTGCCTGCATTTTTTGGGTCAAAACGCCATGGTTTGTTGGTCAAACTTGCATCTGTAGTACTTACCCTCTTTTAAGCCGGCAATGGAGTATCCCCCATTCAAATAGATGTTTTAGTTGAACGTCGGGATCTTTCATTGTAAACC